TATGAAGCACACAAAGTATGCCTGATGAACGACTCAGATTTTCCAACACCCGATTTCAGCTCTACATGTAAATCCGACTGTTATGGAAACCATTGTGCTGATCTTGATTTTGGCCTCGTGTCCAGTCCTGGTCCCAGAGGGACAGTATCAGCACACCTGATTCAATGGCTGACTTACCTGTTCCTACCTGTCCTCAGGTTTACTGTTAAGCATCTTAAACACAGAGGACGGTGGCCCTTGAGGATCAGGAATGGACACCACTGGGTTGGGTTGACTTCAAAAGTTAGACGTGAAGTCATGATTATGCTGTGGGACATTCATTAGAGTCTATCTATTCTAGAGGTTCATTAGATAGTTTGTCGACGAACAATTCTTTGTGACCAAAATGCTTTTGGACTCAGCTTCACCTTGTCCCGCAGCAGCTACAGCCAGGGCGTGGTTGACATCAGGCGAAGACACCACAGCATCGGAGGGGAGGTGGAGCGCCCCCACCAGGTCATGTATGTTAACAAGAGGGTGAAGTTTGGCCACCTCTTTAGGTTTAATGATGTTACAATTGATGCCCAACACCCTGAGAATAAAGTCATCAGTTTAAGGTAACATCACATCTTCTCCTAAGATCACAGAGATGACTATGTCAGCTGGTGCCAACACACCCACTCGTTCTCTAATAAGTAGTCTTACCTAAGTCTCGATGCCAGACGCTTAAGGGAGATGAAGCGATCTTGATTTTGTGCCAAACACACAGAACCTGTCTTCACGTAGCCTGCAACACAACATGAATGAGTGAGCCTCACAACACCTCACCGCTAAAACGTAAAACGGAAATGCATCGTTATCTTTCCAATGTAGGAGAAATTCGGTGTTAAGTGAGCGCTATCTAAATGATTGTAATGAAATGTGTGCTGTGCTGAGGTCTCCAACAGCCTGTTCCTGCATAAACATAATAAATTTTACTCAACTTAAAAGAACTGAGAAGAGGAAGAACAGGTGGGATAGATGAGTGGTTAATAACTGAGTGTTATGGTACATTTTTCTCAGTGAATACAGCAGCACATTAGGTTAAATGGCAAAGCGTCTGACCTGTTTTAATCCCCGTCTCTTCCTCCAGCTGCTGGTAAAGACTAATGGAGTAGTTGGCCATCTGGCATTCAATAGAGATGGGCTTAGCCATGCTCACAATGCCAGCACACAGCCTGGTTGTTCCTGCACCGAGTCTGGGTAGGATGAGATCAGCCAATCTCACTTAGCACAGAAAGGTCAAAACAAACAGTTATCCAGGCTCATCCCTTTAGTTATGCTGCTGGAGGACATGCTGACCACATTCTCTCTGCTGGCTTTACTCTGTGTGTGTGTGTATTTTCTCTTATTACTGCCACTAACGTCTTTGCTCTGTTTATCTTCCTAGAAATGAAGAGTTTGTCTCTGTCTTGTCCCTTTCACACCGCTGTCCTCTCCTCACACCACAGGGGATTCCATAATATATAATAAATCTATAAGACACTATCCTCTTCAGTCCCCTCACACAATTCGTTTATTAGATTAAAATGTTACATAGAACCTGCGGTTAAATGCATTTTTATCTCACCTGCCCTGCTCAAGCAGCACAACATCAGTCCAGCCCAGTTTAGCCAGGTGGTAGGCCACTGATGTTCCCACGATCCCTCCTCCACAGATGACTACCCGGGCCTGGCTGGGCAAAGGGGACAGCGCGGAGTCCCCGCCGACAGCCAGACACTGAGAGGAGGTCTTGAGGCTCCTGTCGGCCAGCATGACCCCCGTCTGAGGACGCAGCAGCCTGGGCAGCAGGGCAGGGGACAGAGCTCTGGAGCTCCGCACACAGCTGCACATGGCTGTGCTTCCTGAAACACAAGTATAATCTCACAAAGGTTTCATCAACACCAAACTAACTAAAGCAAATAAATTGTAACAGAGTGTCAGAAAAATACATATGTGTGGATGTAAGTTGAATAAGACTGGGATTCGTTAATTGCCGTGAGGAGCTCAGCTAACACAAGTTAACAATTCAAAATCTGTCATTTGTCTTAGAACAACCGGGGCTTCAGTGGTTCTCTATTGTAATAATTAAAAAGTTAAATATATCAGGCCTTGAACTTTCAATGTCAAATTATTAGACAAGTGTTAGCTTATATGTTCTGTTGTTGTTGTACATGGTTGGCGACTTCACTAGCTTTAGCTCATAAGTGTTTGCATTTAAATTAGCCAGGAAATGTCAAATTAAATATAAATACCCCTAGAAATTATTTTTCACCGTTATACAAACCGTTTCCAAATGTTTTTACAGTCCGGTTGCTTGCGAGACAAAGTTAGCATCTACTTTCCTCTGGGCAGTAGCTTGTGCTACCAACAAGGTTAGCTAATGTTGACCATTATGGCTACTACGCAAGAAAAAAACGGGTTTTCTTTCATGTTAATGGACTTAAACTCACCGAATCAACCAAGCCCTGGCGTTGTAATAGTTGAAAATCAGCAGCGACAACAAGAAAATGACTAAAAACCACGAAAGTCCTTAAAATATGGTTTGCTGCGGTAAGTCATTACTTCCGGTGTGACCTTTCAAAGTTAAAGCCATTTGTTTTGGGTTTTTTTTTTTTTTTTTTGAGAGGTGGTATTTCGTTTTTGTAAAGAGTTTTAGAAAGGAATATTTATCGTGAATTTTTTTCTTGCTCAAATAAAAATTACTCTGTACTTTGTGATTAGATAGACCGGTACTTGATAGCAGTGGCAAACAGTGAGAGAAATAAAATGACACAAATTGTATTTACAAAATAAAATGTGCTTCTGCCTACTGTTTCGTGCCAATTTACTGATTGTTTTGGTTTGGTTTAGGTTTTTGGGAATTTGCCTTTGAGGCTGCCTCAGATTAAATTTAAATATTCAAAAGCGTCATCAATTGTTTTCTCCATTTTTTTAACCTGTATATATTTATAAAAAGGAAATTCCCACGGTTTTGTAATTATATATATATATATATATATATATATATATATATATATATATATATATATATATATATATATATATATATATATATATATATATATATATTAGAGGCAAATATAAATATTCTTATAATGCACTTTAGAATAAAAATATCATTCTGTTTTGTGAAACTCTGGATTTGTAAAGAACACGTATCTTTATTTTTCTAACATGAAAACAAAATCATCTAACCAGATAGAATATATTAAATATTTCTTAATAAAGTGACATAAAGAATTCTTTGTAATCTCCTAAATCATCAAAGTTGATAACCTTGTAACCATCCTCAAGGCTTACAAGACACATTTATACTACAAAAAGTAATAATAAATTTGTGGATATTAAAACAAATACATTTTTATTAACAGATAATTAATGCCTATATATTCTTGCAAATGCTAGTCACAGTAATTCTCTAAACAGGGGTAATAATCCTTATCCTGACTTAAACATAATTTTAACTGAGACTCCCAGGAACAAAGTACGTCAACACACAGAATCAGTTGCTGCATGACAAGCCACAAAATAAATATTAAACTATATTTATTGACATGTTTAAATTCAGCTATTTACAAGTTTTATATTGGTCAGCAGAAACATTTTACATCAATACAGTTCAAAGACAGGTTGTACATACAGGAAAGACAAGAGCCAGTCAAAGGTCATGCTCAATTCTACACAGTATGAGTCAATAAGACTGCTTAGTAGGAACGTCCTAGTTAATCATTCGTGTAAACTACCTTCATATTCCAGTCTGAGGTGTGTGTCGGAGCAGAATGAAAACTACAAAGTTTTCTTATACGTTTTCACTTATTGAACAAAATCCCAAATTACCCACTATGGTGCGCTTGTTCCTGAATGTGGCCACTAGGTGGTGCCAAAATGAAATAAAAGAAAGGACATTCTCTTCCTTACCAAGACAATAATTAAAATAAAAAATTAAATAAAATAAAATAAATAATTAAATAATAATAATAAATTTACTGATGTAAATGTAAAAATGTGTAATTTTAGCTAATTTCACTGGAGTTTCATTTGGGGACAATTTAACGGCAATATACAATAAAAATTTTAAGAGAAAATTTTGATAATCTTCATAAATACCACAGAGTAAAAACACAAATGACTATTCTTAAATTTTTGGATGACAAGAATTCCAAAGGAGTCTTTAATCGTGCGTTTTTTAATCAACTTTATTTTTATTATTTAACTCTGATGCAACCAATTAAACACTCAGATGTTGATGCTTTTATTACTAAACAAGGTGAGAGAAAGCATGAAGGGTTTTTTTTTGGCACTGGCTTTAAAGATGCAGCGATCTAGACTTCATTCTGCTGGGTGAGGTCATCTGACACGCTGTTAAACTCAGTGGCCCTGGTGGTCATCCCCAAATACTGCTTCAGGAACTCACTGAAACGTTTTTGGTTGTTCCACTTGCGAGCTGACTTTCGAATACCGATGAAGCCACCGTATCTCTTCTGGTATGACCGTCCTGGAGACATCAGTTTCCTGTAGCCATGTCTCCCTTTGACGAAGCCTCCAAACCTCTTGGAGATGAACTGCCGCGGATCACTCTGCTCTCTTGCTGCGGCATCATTATCTCCGCCGTCCTGCTCAGCCTCCTCGTACTCGTTCTCAAGAGACAGATCACTCTGAGAATCGAAGACAGTGCTCAGCTGATCCCTCTCATTCAAGGCACGGGTCACATGGTCGAACCTCTGTAAAGCAACTGGTAATACCAGACCCCTTTCCATCTGCTCCTCTTCCTCAGGAAACAGAACTTCAGCCTCCTCTTGGGATCTTTTCCTCACACCACCATCAAGGGATGAAAAGAGCGGCAATAGCACTCTACGGCACAAGTCCCAGGAGAAGGAAGGGGAGACACTTTCCTTGCACTCTAAGAGACAGGCCTGGTAGAGACAGAGACAAGATTTCTAACGTTTATTTCTGAAGTGTTAAGAAAACGTCTGCAAACAAATGTTTCTTTGTGAAGCTCTGTGTGGAGGGGCGAGGTGCTGCAGGTCTATTAGCTAAATCTGACGCTTTACTTCTCTAAAATTAGCCCCAGTAAAAAGGCCCAAACCTCACTTTTCCTGGGAACCTCCACCAGCGTTCCTATGCCAACGTGGAGATTTATCCCTCCAACATGTCCTGGGTCGCCCCAGGGGCCTCCTGCTGACAGAATGTACCAGGAGTCCAGGAGGCATCCTGACTAAATACCCTAACCACTTGCCTCCTCTCAACTAGGAGGTGTTATGAAATGGTGGTGATTGCAGGACCCAAACGCAAGTGAGCAGGACCAGGAGACAAAATAACTGTTTCAAACGAATAATAATATGTAGGGTGACACAACAGGAAGACAAGTTGGGGATCTGACAAAGATACAACAGAGGGTTTAATATACAAGGGTGATCAGGAATCAGGTGGGTAGGATAACACGGGGCGACAGGACAACATGTCAGGGGGAGAAGGAGCATATCTAGAGGATGTTTGTGGGGAAATTATTTAGATGATTAAAGATGCTGAGCTGCAACCACTCCTGCGGTCTTCTTCAGAGGTACACACTAATGGTGGCGTCACTTCCTTTTCCGTTTATCCGCCATTAGCGGCTAGCTCCAAGTGGTCAAAACTGTCAGCAAAAAGGTAAAACAACCTGTTATGTTCTGGGGCTGCTTTCTATCTCAGGGTGTCTTGGATCAGGGTACAATGAAATCTCAAGACCATAAAGGGATTCTGGAGAGAAATGTGCTGGCCAGTGTCAGAAAACACCCAAGAATGGCTGTGATGAAAACACTGGACTATTCTAACATGGCTTTCTATGAGCCTTGACCTCAATCCTATTGAGCATCTTTGGAAGGAGCTGAAACATGCCGTCTGGAAAAAGTGCCCTTCAAACCTGAGACAACTGGAGCAGTTTGCTCATGAGGAGGGGGCCAAAATACCCGCTGAGAGGTGCAGAAGTCTCATTGACAGCAACAGGAATCGTTTGATTGCAGTGATTGGGGTACCAGGCCAGGTCCAGGCCTGTTCCATGAGTTTGTTTATTTAATGATTAATTTAAAGCACGGTTCAAAAGCAATGTCTGACTTTCACTGGTTAAATTTCATAGATTAAAGTTATTTCTGTGACCATTGTGGGGTTTTCTTTCATTGTCCAAAGGGTACCAACAATGTTGCCCACCTCTTTATATCATCTATAGGTGTGTCTTGCACACAGTGTGGAGAATTTCTGGCATTATGGCAAAAATGCTCCAGAAATACGCCGTCCACTACAATACACCAGGAAGGATTCAGTCATAATGAGTAAGTAGGTAAGTAGGTAAATTTTATTTATATAGCACTTATCACAGACATAGAACATAGAAACTGTTGAATTACTTAAAATACTTGAAGCATTGTATCTTTGGACTTTAGTTTGGATGTCCTAAAATAACACTGTGACCAAAAACTAACAGCTTAAGGTTTTAAATCAGCTAAAGTTGCTGCCATGTCTGTCATCAGCAAGAAGGAAACGACCAGCGGCACAGAGCAGGAAACCAACATCTGTCCCCAGGAATCAGTTAGTCACAACAAATTAAAGCTCACATGACAAAAGGGCAATGTGTTGAGTCAGGCAGGGAGCGGCTGAGAATGAATACAGGAGTGAGCAGTAACCCTCACTCACATGTTGGACTAAACCTATTCAAGTTTATTTTTCTTTTCTTGCTAAATACTAGATATTCTACTAAAATACATTTACACATTATGCGTGTGCAAGTGTGTGTGCGTGTGCAAGTGTGTGTGCGTGTGCAAGTGTGTGTGCGTGTGCAAGTGTGTGTGTGTGTGTGTGTGTGTGTGCGTGCGTGCGTGCGTGCGTGCGTGCGTGCGTGTGTGTGTGTGTGTGTGTGTGTGTGTGTGTGTGTGTGTGTGTGTGTGTGTGTGTGTGTGTGTGTGTGTGTGTGTGCGTGTGCATGTGTGTGTGTGTTTTCCTCACCACAGAGTTGACACTAAGCTGTTTGGGCAGGATTTTGCTGCAGGACAGACAGTCTGCCTGGCAGTCACTGTGTCCAGGATCACAGAGACAGAGGAGCAGCAGGGCCATCACCGTCTTCATGGTCCCAACGTCTGCTGAGTAACACCAGACAGAGCAAAACGTTTAGAGCGATCAGACTGTGTCTGCTTATTGTACCAACACCTTCCTGTCTGGGATTCAGTTTTTGTCTGAAAGCCCTTCTCTTATGGAATAAAAGAACCACGTGGTTTGTAGACATTTTAGTTTTGACCAACAAAGCTTTAAGGGAGATAATGGAAACAGCTTCAGGAGCGGCTAAAGCAGATCCCAGGAAAAGCATCCGACATCTCAGTCCAGAAAAGTTCAGTCCTAGGAACAGCTAAGGTACTGCGAAGAACCCTCAAGCTCACAAGCCTCTGGTAGAGAACCCGAGCTTGGAAAGATAAGACCACCCATGGTGGAAGAAATTGAATTATTTATGTAGTATAGTTTTAGCTTCTTTGTTTACTTTTGACTTCAATAATCACAGCTCGGCGCCACCAGCGTTCTGGGAAAATCTCACAACTAAAAGGTCAAAACTTCCAAAACCTTAAACTAAGACAGCAAACAAAAACAGAGCAAAACAGTTTGTTGCACAAGGCAGCCTGGCTCTGGCTTTGCTTCTTGTTTAGCTGCATTAAGCCAAGAATCTTCCATTCATGCACAATGAAGGGCATGTCCAGAGGGGGAAGGATGGTCAGAGAAGAAGCTTGGATCATGATCCAGTCATTAAGAATCTGAATTTCACAATGATTGTATGAGGTTTTTCTAGGATTATACCTCTCAGAAGCGATCAAAGATCAAGTTTCATATTTTTATGAGTTAATGAAAACAGCTTCATGTTAAAGATCAAATTCAAAACAAAGAAGCGAGTTGTATTTACGTTCCGATTGTCATGAATGTATGAAAACACAATGGCTTTGTTTAGTGTGAGTCCCTATGTGCTGAATAAAACATTTAACTCAGCTGTTTGGTAAAAATCCCTGTACAAGCAGGATAAAACAAACAAGCAAATTACAGGTGCTGGCCAGTAAATTAGAATATCATCAAAAGGTTGAAAATATTTCAGTAATTCCATTCAAAACGTGAAACTTGTACATTATATTCATGCAATGCACACAGACCAATGTATTTCCAATGTTCATTACATTTAAATTTGATATTCATAAGTGACAACTAATGAAAACTCCAAATTTGGTATCTCAAAAAATTAGAATATTCTGAAAAGGCTGAATATAGAAGACACCTGCTGCCACTCTAATCAGCTGATTTACTCAAAACACCTGCAAAGGCCTTTAAAAGGTCCCTCAGTCTTGTTTTGAAGGCACCACAATCATGGGGAAGACTTCTGACTTAACAGCTGTCCAAAAGACAATCATTGACACCTTGCACAAGGAGGGCAAGACACAAAAGGTGATTGCTAAAGAAGCTGGCTGTTCGCAGAGCTCTGTGTCCAAGCACATTAACAGACAGGCGAAGGGACGGAAAAAATGTGGTAGAAAAAAGTGTACAAGCTCTAGGGATAACCGCACCCTGCAGAGAATTGTGACGACAAACCCATTCAAAAATGTGGGGGAGATCCACAAAGAGTGGACTGCAGCTGGAGTCAGCGCTTCAAGAACCACCACGAGGAGACTCATGAAAGACATGGGATTCAGGTGTCGCATTCCGTGTGTCAAGCCACTCTTGAACAAGAAACAGCGCAAGAAGCGTCTCGCCTGGGCCAAGGACAAAAAGGACTGGACTGATGCTGAGTGGTCCAAAGTTATGTTTTCTGATGAAAGCAAGTTCTGCATTTCCTTTGGAAATCAAGGACCCAGAGTCTGGAGGAAGAGCGGAGAAGCACAGAATCCACGTTGCATGAGGTCCAGTGTAAAGTTTCCACCGTCAGTGATGGTGTGGGGTGCCATGTCATCTGCCGGTGTTGGCCCACTCTGTTTCCTGAGGTCCAGGGTCAATGCAGCCGTCTACCAGGAAGTTTTAGAGCACTTCATGCTTCCTGCTGCTGACCAACTTTATGGGGATGCAGACTTCACCTTTCAACAGGACTTGGCACCTGCACACAGTGCCAAAACCACCAGCACCTGGTTCAAGGACCATGGTATCCCTGTCCTTGATTGGCCAGCAAACTCGCCTGACCTTAACCCCATAGAAAATCTATGGGGTATTGTGAAGCGGAGGATGCAATACGCTAGACCCAACAATGCAGAGGAGCTGAAGACGACTATCAGAGCAACCTGGGCTCTCATAACACCTGAGCAGTGCCACAGACTGATCGAGTCCATGCCACGCCGCATTACTGCAGTTATTGAGGCAAAAGGAGCCCCGACTAAGTATTGAGTGCTATACATGCACATTCTTTTCATGTTCATTCTTTTCAGTTGGCCAACATTAGAGAAACAAACATTTTTTCATTGGCCTTTAGAATATTCTAATTTTCTGAGATACCAGATTTGATGTTTTCATTGGTTGTCACCTATAAATATCAAATTTAAATGTAATGAACATTGGAAATACATTGGTCTGTGTGCATTGCATGAATATAATGTACAAGTTTCACGTTTTGAATGGAATTACTGAAATATTTTCAACCTTTTGATGATATTCTAATTTACTGGCCAGCACCTGTGTATATATATATATATATATATATATATATATATATATATATATATATATATATATATACACACACACACACACACACACACACACACACACACACACACACATAGACATATTTTTAGATAATTATTTTCCAACAATAAATGCATTTCTGTAATGTGATTCTTTGTTTTTGTTTTTATTTTTTAGATATTTTTTATACGTTGTCTCCTACAGTTGAAATATGTCTACAATTAAAAATACAGACCTCTAGGGGACAGCAATAGCTCAGGGGTTAGAGTGGGTTTTCCAGTAATCGGAAGGCTGTGAGTTTGATCCTGGCTCCCGACAGAGAATTTTGCTGTTGTGTCCTTGAGCAAGACACTTAATCCTTCCTGAATGCTGGTGGCACCTGTGCTCGGCCGCCTCGCCTCTGTCAGCGTGCCCCAGGGCAGCTGTGGCCACAATATAGCTCATCACCATCAGCGTGTGAATGTGTGTGTGTGTGCGTGCGTGTGTGAACGTGTGTGTGCGTGCGTGCGTGCATGTGTGTATGTGTGTGTGTGTGTGTGTGTGCGTGCGTGCGTGCGTGCGTGTGTGTGTACGTGTGTGTGTGTATGAATAGATGAATTATACACAGTAGTGTAAAGCACTTTAGAGTTCTCTGACTCTGAACAGCGCTATACAAGTGCAAGTCCTTTATCGTCATCATTTATTCTTTGTAACTTCAAAAACTGGCAATGTACTTCCTTTCCCCACTGTGTCTGCATTAAAGTCTCCTTATGTTGAAGTCTAGTGTGGTGCAGCATGAGGTTCAGACTACAATCAATTGTAGCCATAAAAAGGTTATTAATAATATTATTATTGATTAGATTAGATAAAGCACTTTAGTTTTCAGGGGACCCATTACTCGCTATTCATTCATTCACACTCAGGTGGTGGTAAACTAGCAGTCCCTCTGACCACTATCAACACTGACATACAGGCATGGCAGGGCAGGGGAACTATTCTTCCATAGGACACAACAGCTGACTGACTCAGAAAGAGTTGGAGCTGAACCATCAACCCTCTGATTATTGGCCTACCCCCTCAACCTGGAGCCTCTGAGATACGTTCTTTCATTTCAGTTTTCCTTTCTGCACCCAAACGGACAGACGGATGGACGGTTTCAGCTCACAAAGCTCCTCAGATGGGTGATCTGGGTTTATAGCAATGTCAAGTTAACGGGAATAATGGGAATAGAATAAGTAATCAGTCAATCAATCAATCAATCAATCAATCAATCAATCAATCAATCAATCAAAGCTTTATTTGTAAAGCGCCTTCCGCAACCCTATCGGGAAGCCCAAGGCGCTGAACATGGTACAAGAGAAAGTTAAATATGGTGAATAAATCGAAAATAAAAGCAATTCAAATTACAAATGACAAAAAAGGTAAAACATTCTAGTAGAAGACAAATGGGTAAAACAAGGGATAGAGTGAACCAATGAAAACAGGGAAATAAAATCAACATGAAAGACGGCCAATTTCAAACATGTTCAGGAAACACCAAGCGGAGGAGGTGTGTTTTTAGGCTACTCTTAAAGACTGGCAGAGACGGGGACAGCCTAACTGAGGGTGGCAACTGGTTCCAGAGTGACGGTGCTAGGACTGAGAAAGCCCGGTCCCCACGAGTACGACACCTAGAACGAGGGACAGCGAGCAGGCCTTGGTCGGAGGAGCGCAGAGCGCGTGATGGGAATGTCTGTTCAGGAGTGTGGCCAGATAGGGGGAGCACCACCCTGGATGAAATTATAAACAAAGACGAGGAGTTTAAAGTGTGAACGATAACAGACCGGATGCCAGTAATGGGGTACGGAGCATAGAAATGATGGAAACATGAAGGAAAAACAAAGTGTTTGACCTCATTCTTGTAGGAGCAACCCTGTCTGACGTCAGAAAAAAAGCAGAGTTTTCATCTCATTAAACAAACTCGTTAACTCCTTTAATTGATGCCTCAATTTATGCCTCTGGCAGCAAACTGAGTCACCGTTTCTTACTGACACACTCAAACTCAGCACACACACACACTCACAAAAAATGAATATATAAACACATATTTCTATATGAGAGACTTAAACCATAACCAAAAGAGTTGTATGAAACTAAAATTAATTTGTCTTCCTTTTACTCTTCTGTGATGTCTCAAAGGTCTGGAATTTATTAAGACAAATTAAAATCTGATAAAAATGTAATTGCTCTACAGCTCATTTCTAATCTCTAACTACTTATAAAGCACCAACTCTGCAAAATTAATCAGTGAAAGGAATAACAGAATGTCTCTAAAAATGTCCTCAGTGTGATGCAAACGAGGGAGTTGACTGTGATGGACAAAAGAGATAAGTCATTTAGGGTGGGACACAATTGGCAGATGGCATTAGATTCCTGGGTGTGTTCATTTGGCCATAATGCATCCGCCACCGCCTCTCACCATCTCCGATTGGAGAGTGAGTCCAACTAATATTTGTTTAGACCTTCTTTGTTAAAGGAGATGTATTATGACCTTTTTAAAAGTTATAACATTTCTATCATCTAGAGAAATTATGTTTGTGCAGCTCTTTGCACTAAATCCCTCACATAAAGCATTTTCAGCAGTTTTACCCATGACTTTTTCAATACCTTCCAGGAGGAGCCGTTTCAGGGTTCTGTCACTTTAAAAAAAAACTAGTGGCTGCTGGCCCCGCCCACTAACCCCTGATTGGCTGCTCTGAGAAGAGGAGCTTGGAGTAGCGCTGCTGATTCTTCACATCCAGAAGAGAACCCTCCTTAAGCACCGACAGGTGTGTGTGTGTGTGTGTGTGTGTGTGTGTGTGTGTGTGTGTGTGTGTGTGTCTGTGTGTGTGTGTGTGTGTGTGTGTGTGTGTGTGTGTGTGTGTGTCACAGAAAATAGATTGGGTGGGTTTTAATTTGCGTTTGGACTGTTTATGGAGACAGTAAAGACCCACTGTTACTTTGGTTTGTGCTTAAGCACCAAACTGCAGGTCAGATTACCTACCCTTTTTGGAGTCTCTGGAGGGAGTGCTGGATTGTGCTCTTTCTGGGAACTCCCTTGTTTTGCTGCGGGACTTTGTCGTCGTCTCATCTGATCTGAGGCCGAATGTCTTGGACACTCGGGTGAAAAGAGGGGTGCGGCTGTTAACTGACCAGTACCTGGTGGTGAGTTGGCTTCAATGGTGGGGCAGGATGCTTGTCAGACCTAAGAGGCCTAAATGTATTGTGAAGGTCCGTTGGGGATGTCTGGTGGAGTCTCTTATCAGAAGGAGCTTCAATTCCCACCTCTGACAGAACTTCAACACATCCCAGGGGAGGCGGGGGACACTGAGTCTGAGTGAGCCATGTTCCATACCTCCATTGTTGGGGCGGCTAACCGGAACTGCGGTCGCATGATGATCATTGCCTGTTGTGGTAACAACCCCTGAATCCAAGCTGTCAAGAAGAAGAAAAAGTCCTACCTGGCGTTTGACCAGTGGTACTCCAGAGGCAGCTGATAGGTACCAGCAGTCAAAGCGGAATGCTGCTCAAGTGTTGCATAGGTGAGGAGTTAGGTGAGATTGTGGAGCAAGACTTCCATACATTTTTTTAGGAGATTCAGGTCCACCATCCAACGCCTCAGGGGGGGAAAGCAATGCGCTACCAACACTGTTTACGGTGGGGACGGTATGCTGCTGACCTTGACTCGAGATGTTGTGGATCGGTGAGCAGAAGACTTCAATCCCACCAGCATGTCTTTTGGTGAGAAAGCGGAGTGTGTGGACTTTGGGTTGGACTCTCCAATCTCTGGAGCCAAGCTCATTGATGTGGTCTAGAAGTTCTTCAGTGTTAAAAGGAGCCGCGGTTACAAAACTTTGTGGTTCTTAAAAGACAAATGTTAGTATCAGTTATATTAGAATGGTGTAAAAAACCTTCTTAATGTCTTCATTTTTATAAAATTTGTAAAAATAGTTTAACTTGTAGGTCACCATTGTTGTTAGCATTGCAATGCATTCTGGGTAATGATGTCATATGGTTGTACCTCGGTTGCACCGGCTGGCTTTGGAACCGTGTAGAGACTGGTCAGCGACATCAACATGTCATCTGTTCAGCCTTTTCAATTTGAACCAGAGCGAAACATTAATGAGGACATCACTGACCATGTTTCACAAAACGAGCATCAAAATGAAGAGCAAGAAGGGCGGGATGAAGCGAGTGCAGGACAAAACCGGTGATGCATCAGGGGCAGTTCTACTGGACCAGCAGACCAGGGTGGTGGTCCCCCTATTTAAAAAGGGGGACTGCAGACTGTGTTCCCTGGTATAGTCTTTTCAGGGATTTTGGAGAGGAGGGCCCGTGGAATAGTTGAACCTCAGATCCAGGAGGAGCAATGTGATTTTTGTCTTAGCCATAGAACACTGGATCAGCTCTATATGCCTAGGGGTGTCCTAGAGCAGTGGTTCCCAAACTTATTTAGCCGCGCACCCTCTTCTATGTCCCGACCATGTCTACGCACCCCCCAGCCCCACATCAGGGCATGGCTCTATATATATATATATATATATATATATATATATATATATATATATATATATATATATATATACTATACGTCACTCGACAGACAGGGTTAAAAAACTGTGATGACCTTTTTCCCCATCACTTTCATTTTTATGTTTATGTATTATGTATTTTTGAAATAGCAATTAATAAACATTCGATACCATTACAATTTCCTTTGATTTAATTTTAAATCAATATTTAGAGTGCCCAACAATGCAATTTAACGGTTTTCTTAAAGCAGGAACGTTTAACCTGTGGCCAGAGCGCTCTCCTTCCTTCTGCTCTGCGTAAACCTGAGCTGATCACCTACTTGTGCGTAATCAAATGTCAATAGGGGAAAAGATGGAAAAGCTATAGCCATGAGGTTCACTCTTGCCTCAGACTGACTTATTGCTGTTTTATGGTGTGGCTGAATCTGCGATCCGCTGCCACACATGAGGAGTCACTGGCTGGAGTGGACTCGATTTTAATACGTCATCCCAAAATGGAAGCTAATATATTAACCCTTTGATGCATGAATTACGAAATCTTCAACCATGATTTTTTTAACCTTTTTTAAAAAATTATCTTTAGGTGTGAATGAAACAAATTCCAACAAATATTTTTTGTAACATTTAATAATTTACAAATAATTTATTACATGTCCACCTCAGTGGACAGCGTGCATTCTGAGCATGAAATATGTTGGCTTGACTTACTGAAGTCCAAATGGAGGGTCTCACATGCAAAAAAGTCTTAAACAGCTGTGCTTAATAGCAAAAATAAATAAATAACAATTTGGAGTACCTGTCCACTGTAGTGACCATTATGCATCAAAGAGTTAATTTGACCTTGAATGAAAAATGTTGTTATAAAACCTCTTAAAAGTTTTTATCACGGAGGAGGCAGCGCTCATTTCTGCCTTCAGTCTGACGGCGCGCCGGAGTTTGCGCAGCGTGCGCTTATTGAATCTGTGTGTGTGTGTGTGTGTGTGCGTGTGCGGCACAGCTCCATGAGCCACTCAAGTCACCGCGTCTCGTTATTGGCGCTATTTAAACCAATGCTGTAAAATTACTTATGCCCAGCTCAGATGTGCTCACTTGTGCCCCCGTGAGCCGTGGTTTCGCTGGAACGCGTCTGACCTCTGACAGACACACTCTGAACTTCAGATCTTCAGCGCGCTGTTAATAGCCTGACACGTTTAGAATGCTGTCCCACAGTCAGTGTGCTAATATAATAATATAATAATGCTAAAATGCTCAGATGGGAATTGTGTCTTGATTTATTTTGTTACATCCACAATGTTCTGTATGTGAGGTTTACAATGTCAGAACACCTGCATGAGACAGGGTGTTTATTACAATCTGCCAGAATGACTCACCACCTTCAGATTTCTCCAACATCGATAAAAATGATCAAATACGGAACGTATCTTGATATTAACAGCGTGCGCAGGTCAGAGTGCTGAAGCTCGGAGTGCATTATTATTATGAAGCTAGGGCACATGCGGAGGACACACACACACACACACACACACACACACACACACACACACACACACACACACACACACAAGCAAAATATACTTGTTTTCAATTACATTTATTGTGCCCACTTACTTTTTCTTAGGCCCACCCACAAATGAGTTTCTGGCTACGCTAATGGTGACATATGACAGACTTCTCTGAGCTCCGCAGCCATTACACTTTTCACCTCGCGCACCCCCTAGCGGCAGCTCGCGCACCCCCAGGGGAGTCCCTGTCCTAGAGGGTGCATGGGAGTTCGCCCAAGAAATCTACTTGTTTGTTGTGGGTCTGGAGAAAGCTGCATCACTCGGGGGGCCTTGTGGGTGGTATTCGAGAGGATGGGATACCAAGCCCTTTGATACAGGCTGTTAGGTCCTCGTATGATCGTTGTCAGAGCTCGGTCTGCAAAGCCGGTAGTAAGTCAGGCTAGTTTCCAGTGAGAGGCTGCCCTTTGGTACTTTCACTGAAGATGAAGGCTGTTCCTCTGGGTTTGATGGAACTTCTGCTTCAGTAGTTGAAAATCTCATAAATGTATAACCTATCATTTAGATATTTCCATCCATCATCCAGCCTGCTTAGCAGTGGTCACAGGAAGTTGGTGTCACGGGTGAGGCGGGGGACATGTCTGGACATGTCTCCGGTCCATCACAGAAATCAAAACATTTAAATAAAGAGAAAAAAAGATTTTATTTGGAACTATTTAGAAACATAGTGTCTTAACTTAAGGTTCTGAAGTTGCCACTAGAAGATGCAGGGAACCGTGAATCCAGTTAAAGGCACAGTCTGCAAAATTTAAATGTAGAATAACTTTAAAAATGTTTGATTTTGACCATCTGACCCAATTTTATTTAAAAAAGTAAATAATCTTTAATATTTCAATTTTCTCCTAAGTCCCTCCCCTGCCCTGTAGAGCTCAGCCAATATTTCTGCAAGCCTAACGCGTTGACCAATAGCGCTGCGTTTCCACCAGGGGGCAGCTGTCAATCATCGAGCACGAGCATTCGATCTCAGCGTGCACAACAGTGTCACGCGCCTCACTCGGCTTACTGCAGAAACATGGAGCAACAAAACCCCAAATTACCGATTCCTCGACTGCCTTCCACATCTCAGAAAACATTTAAAAAGTTTAAAAGCCCTTCTTCAAAAGTGGCTGTAAGACGTTCGAGACAGTCGAGTAGAATTTACATTGGAGATTGTTTTACACACGATGGAGAGATTTTCGTGATCTACACGGCCTGAAAACGGATGAAGAGTTGGCAAAGTATCTTTTAGACAGGTAAGTTATTTATTGTTTTTCGGATAAATTTACTTATAATCTTTCTTTCACTGAAAGAAGTAATAGAGCAAACAAGCTTTGTATGCTTGGTGTCCTATTGGCTAATGTAGCATTAGCTTGAATGCCAAGTCGACATGAATAGATGCTAGTGAACTAGTTATGCTATATTTGGAAGAAGTTTGAGTAACGAAAGGGGATTTTAGTTTTTTGTTTATATGGGAGCTAATGATTAGTGTGGCGTTTAACTATAGGCCACATCAGTATATTGTTTTAAGCTCTTGTTTATAACTTCCCCGTTAGCGGGGTTCAGTTAGCGTCTTGAAAGCTGAATTAGGTGTTTACACTTTCCTGAGCTGCGTGTTTGATTAAAATGAGTAATCAGCAGCTCATGTAGTACTTGTAGAAGTCTGAGGAGATGATTCAGCAGTTAGAATTATGTGTGATTGATTAGGAACGTATCCAAAACCTTACGTTTCCATTAGCACTGAAAGACATATTGTGCTAACCTGGGTGGGCCACGTGTACAGATTACCGTCTGAGTTTGTGGTCTTACCTACGTGAAAACTCCATATTAAAATAAAAGGAATGATAATCAGCTCGTGCAAAAATCTGTGAAGGCTGGGGAGACTTGCTTAGCTTGTGATCACTAATTTTTGGGCTTTGTTTTTTACAGTCATCAGTCCAAATATGAAGCATCAACATCTACACCATTGAAGCGCCAACTGTGTATTTCTCCAACACCAGTGCCAGCTCTGTCTAGCATTCATGGAGAGTCATCTGAAAGGTAAATAGCTGCGTAAAAACCTCTACCAGGAATATTATAATTTTGCCTCTGTTTGTTTTAAGTTAGTGGTGGATTATTTTGAAAAAATTCTAGAAATGGGATAATGAATGACTATAAAAAATGTATAGAAATAAATAGTAGAACTACATTTTATATAGCGCCTCTCAAGATAAAACTCTTGAGACACTTCACAACAACAAAATTCAACATATTTTAAAAAATTATATTTTTATTTCAAAGTTTATGAGAAAAAAATAACACAATTGTGTTTTTAAAATGTAAAGAGAGAGACAGGAAATTATTTGTAAAGAAGGAATTCAGTGGATACAGAGAAATGCGTAATAAGTAGAGTGAGAAAAATAAGGAGAGGGTGATGATGACGGCCAATAGACGAGGTCTATTACCTTCAAAATGACAAAATATGTATTGATTCTAATCATATTCTTGTGCTTGTATTTTATTTTCATAGGGATGATAATTTGGAGGAGGTGATGGAACAAGGTGAAACTAAAAAAAGAAGGATCTTCACAAATGTAAGTACAAGGTTGTGTCTGTATTTGGCTGTCACATTTGTCAGGAAAAGTAAACAATAATTACTTTTTTAGGTTATCTTGTGTGGGAATTGAAGCAAACATTGACGAGGAAGAGTTCAACAATATTCAAAACTCTGTGTAAGTATTCAGATGTTAATAAAATGTGTCTAATTTTCCATACTAAAAACTTTATATTGTGTATATTCAGGATAGAGTCATCAGATGACACATGGTCACCAAACAGAGAACCAGAAGTTGATTCGTCTTTAGAGGAGGACGAAACCATCGAGATGGACAGCGGTACTGATGACCGCGGTGATGAGGACTACACACCTTATATACACATAAGGTAATTCCTTTCGTTTAACATTCTATAAAACTGCAATAGCGCATAGTTAATGAAAAGCTTTTGTTCACAGGACTGGAGCAGCATTACAATAAACATTACAACTTGAGACTCTGCAAGAAATTAACATAGAGGATACAGTTCATGACTGTAATATCCCAGAAGCAACGGACCGACGTTTGACAAGCAAGAAAGGTCTTCCTCGACGCTACAAGCTAAGGCCTGAGGATCCAAGGCGTTACGGTTTGCTGTCCGGAGTTCCTGCACCATCAACAGAGGAACTTCTACAACACCTACGGACTTGCGGTGATGGTAAAATAAAATATTATCTGCCTTACATCTTCCACACAATAGTCCATTGCTAATTAGGCCCGAGCAGCGAAGCGCTGCGAAGGCCTATTGTATCTGCTCCGTTTCTTTTTCTTTCTTTTTTTTTCTTTTTTTTTCTTCCGCGTCTTTGGATGGCCTTTAGGGGGTCTTAGCATATCCAAAAACTCACAAAATTCTGGCCCAATATAGAAAGTGCGTGAAATTTACGTATTTCACTGGCAACGTGAAAGTTGGTAAAAAAATGTTTCGACAGCGCCCCCTGGAAAATTTAAAATACCCCTCCGCTTTGACCTTTTTTCATAGTAGAGTGATGAAATTTGGTACACTTGTAGAACTCAACAATACGCACAGAAAAGCCTCTTGCACCCATGGTCAATATCAAACAGGAAGTCGGCCATTTTGGACTAAAGTGGCCATTTTGACCCCGTTTTGGCCATTTCTATGGTCTATATTTGGTTGAACAGTTTGGTCATTTTTCGCACGATTGTCTCAAAAATAGTGTGCGATCGAAGAGAAGCGATGGACGAATCAAATGAGCAAATAAAATTGACTTTTCGTAAATACTGAAGGGGCGGGGCCAGGCCTCAAAGTTTGAGCACTCGCCAAAAAAATTCAAATTGCTTTAATTTCATAAATGAAAGTATTACAGCTAAAGTAATTTTCTATGGACAATCGTCATCGCCCCCCGAAGACAAATGAATGGTCGATTGATGATGTCACATAAGCCCCGCCCCCTCAGGCCTTAAAAGGTCAAGTTTTACTGGGAAATTTTCCAAAATTCGCCCTTTCAAATAATCAGCCCAAATTTGTAGCAGGTAACTGAAGACAAGTTGGGGGTTGCTTGGCGTCACTTTATGGGAGTTTTCTGCAGAAGGCGGGGCTGTGGTGGCGCGGCGAAGTCAGGCGTACCGACGTGGCCTTACGTTTGCCTCCCATTTCGTCAATTCTAGAGATATTGCCACAAAACCTCTTGGGAGTGATCCTAGTTCAGCCCCCCACAAAATGTGATGTGAACATCCGGTGGGCGTGGCCTATTTTCTGAAATAGCGCCCCCTAGGACCATTAAAACTGTCAGCCCCAAGTCATGCTTTGACTGAGGATTATGAAATTTGGCACACTAATGTGGTGTCTCAGGACCTACAAAAAAGTCTCTTGGAGCCAAGTGCAAAGTCGCACAGGAAGTCGGCCATTTTGGTCCAAGTACTCGATTTAGTGGTTTTCGCACACGTTGTTTGGAGAGTGATGCTCCATCGCCCTTTTCACCAATCGCCTTCAAACTTCTGCTATAGACTCTTAAGACATAAAGGAAAAAATTCAACCGTCGGATTTTAAATAAGTATAAAGGTGTGGGCGTGGCTAAGCCTCAAACTTTGACCTGTCACCACGCCACTCTTTTTTTCACAGCTACCTATTGGACTCCTTTTACCCAATCGCCAGCAATCTCTGGCGAATAGCAGCTGACAAGTTGAGGTCACTTAGTCTCCAGTACTGGCAGGTTTTGAAAAAAGGCGGGGCTTTGGGAGCATGGCAAAATTCACCATCACGCCATGGCAATACGTTTGCCTCTCATTTCTTCAATTATCGTGCCATCGCCACAAAATGTCTGGTGAGTGATCCTAGTCTGAACCCCAATAGATTTGGACAGCTGTAGTTTGTGGGCGTGGCCTATTTTATGAAATGGCGCCCCCTAGGACCATTAAAACTGTCAGCCCCTAGCCATGCTTTGACTGAGGAGTACGAAATCTGGTACACTAATGTGGTGTCTCCGGACCTACAAAAAAGTCTCTTGGAGCCAAGTGCAAAGTCGCACAGGAAGTCGGCCATTTTGGTCCAAGTACTCGATTTAGTGGTTTTCGCACACGTTGTTTGGAGAGTGATACACCATTGCCCTTTTCACCAATCACCTTCAAACTTCTGCTATAGACTCTTAAGACAAAGGGGAAAAAATTCAACCTACGGATTTTAAATAAGTATAAAGGTGTGGGCGTGGCTAAGCCTCAAACTTTGACCTGCCGCCACGCCATTCTTTTTTTCACAGCTCCCTATTGGACTCCTTTTAACCAATCAACAGCAATCACTGGCAAATAGCAGCAGACAAGTTGAGGTCACTTGGTCTATAGTACTGGCAGGTTTCGAATAAAGGCGGGGCTTTGGGAGCATGGCGAAATTCGCCATCAAGCAATGGAAATACATTTGTCTCTCATTTCTTCAATCATTGTGACATCGCCACACAATTTCGTATGAGTGATCCTACTCTGACCCCTAATAGAATTGGACAGCTGAAGTTTGTGGGCGTGGCCTATTTTCTGAAATAGCGCCCCCTAGGACCATTAAAACTGTCAGCCTCAAGCCATGCTTTGACTGAGGATCACGAAATTTGGCACACTAATGTAGTGTCTCAGGACCTACAAAAAAGTCTCTTGGAGCCAAGCGCAATGTCGCACAGGAGGTCGGCCATTTTGGTCCAAGTACTCGATTTAGTGGTTTTCGCACACGTTATTAGGAGAATGATGTCTCGTCGCCCTTTCCACCGATCACCTTCAAACTCCTGCTATATACTCTTAAGACATAGAGGAAAACTTCAACCGTCGGATTTTAAATTAGTTTAAAGGTGTGGGCGTGGCTAAGCCTCAAACTTTGACCAGTCGCCATTACGTTACTTGACTCAATAACTCCCTTGTCCATGATCAGATCAATTTCAAACTTTGTCCGTGTGATCACTGACCACATCTGAAGACAGTGACAATGTGGACAGCTGGCATCACCTAAGCCCCGCCCCCTGACTACAGGAAGTCTACTGTTTTATGGTGAAATGCCCATATTTGTCCCCTCTAATTTAGTCAACATGACACTAAGGTCATTCACTGTCTTCATGATGTTTTAATGACTATTCAGATCTGATAGCTTTTCAGAAAGGGAGGAGCTTTGATGCCATGGCGATTTCTGGCGTGACGCTGTGACCTTACGTTTGACTGTAACTTCCACAAACAGCCTCCGATTTGCCAGAGACTGAACATCACATCACCAGTGTGGTAAAGACAGACTATCTCCTAGTGGTGAGACGTGTAATGCTGGGCTCAGAGGGGATGCTGAATCAGGGTGAGGTGTGGACGAGGAGGCCGTTCACGGTTTCTGGTGTCGGGGTGGTTGACTTTCTGTTCTGCCCGACGTGCCCTGGTGCCCCCGGCTGCCGGCCAGGATGGACAAGCGCGGAATTGGGTTTGGAGAGCGTCGGGGATGGAGCGGAGGGGGTGCGGAAGGAGGGCGAGCAGCTTCGCTGCGAGGGCCGAACGACGCTGCTTGCAGCTTTAATTGAGTTTATTTTTTATTTACAGGTAAAACTTTGCCACAGACGTAGGTGTTGGGGGAGGCAAGAGAAAACCCAAAACCTTCTTTATTTTTGTTTCCTGTGTTTTTTTTGTTTTTTTTTGAAAATAAAGATATATTTTGGGGAAATAAGGACTAATAATTTAAAAATTTATGTAAAATGTTGGAGGTAGACATAATTTTTTTTTTTGTTGTTGTGCAGGAGTTTTAAAATTTATGGTATTTTTATAAATGCAACACAGAGTTGTGCTTTAGAACACTTTATTAGAGCATCAAACAAAAATATATAAAAACAAACTTATGTAAAATATCAAATATATACATTTATTTACAATCGTCTTGGAATAAAACCAGTGTAGTTACCATTGGGGTCAGGGAATTTTGCAGAATAAACTCCTCCATGTGTGGTACAGTTGAAATACATGTCTGGGGAGGCTGTTGGCAGCATTTCTTTTCCAAATCAGTTGGCATATCTCTGCAGTGGGAGCATACACACCATGAAGTTTGATTGGGTGTTGGAGGTGTTGTGGCAGGTGGACTAGAGAGGGCAAGTACATCAAAGAGAACACCAGTGTCTGTCCAGCACCATGGTAAGGATGTCAATAGCCTGCTGAGGGTTCAGGTTCTGTATGTGTTGCTACAAAAGTGGAAAGAGATGCTACAGCAACAGTTTTTGGGATAATTTAGTGTAATGTTGTTATGCTTACACGTTCAAAGTCTATTCGCTCGGAACAAAGATTCCGAACTCGAGAGAGATCATCTCCAAGGTCCACAGCTGAGTGTCTCACACTTCTTCGGCCTCTGGATGCACCGCGGCCTCTAGACACACCACAGCCTCTGGATGCACCACGGCTTTGAGATGATGGTGGGCATCTCCTTTTTGCACCACGTCTTGAGGATGCAATAGGAGGTTCAAACTCTTCCTCAGAGGATTCCTCAATCACTGAACTCTAAATTGTATTAGAATAAAAAAAAATATACTAATATAAAAAGTACTCTTGCATATTAATCAATTTTGACACAGGTCAGGTTTACATCTAGTCAAAATTTGGGCTAAACCAACAATAAACAGAAACCCTATGAAAACAACCATGATTATAGGAGGACTACACAGAATGCAGTGTTTATTCATGATTTCACCATAAATTATTTATATGCTTTGATATATTCATCCCATCTTGAATGGCAAAGCAATTCAAAATAAGCTAGTTACTTGTAATAAAATGCTAACAATTTGATAGGATTAATTTTATTTACAATATAGATTGCCAACTGTTACTGGTATTTTAAAATATAAATATATTTATAGATATTCTTTATAAAATGCCTTTTGTAAACAGTAAGTGTTTAATGTGCTGGTTAAATACAACTTTCTTACCTCAGATAACTCCATTGCTAACACTAGCTCAGCTCTATTACAAGAAGCAATGCTCCGATGTTGACTCTGCTTTTCCTGCGCGTGCACATTGGGAGGCGTGGCTTTCGGCTCTTTCAGGAAGGGCGGGGGAGTGAGCAACAGCCGTTCGAATTTAAAAATCTCCTCCTCCTCACCCTGATGGCGTCATCCTGCGGACTGTGCCTTTAACCGTTTAAATATTCAAGTTTGATTCCCATCTTCCTTCAACAACACCACACATACTCACAGTCCTGAACATTTCTTCTGCTGTGTTATCAACAATTCCCTCAAATGTTCTCTATTATTGGCATTTTTTTTTCCGTCGAGAACAAGGGCGTCAGTTTGTTTTCAGAATTGCTGGGGACAATAGCCATACACTTGAGTGGGGCTTAAAAATTGCTGGGGACAATAAAGTAGGCTAGCACAGGGGTCGGCAACCCGCGGCTCTGGAGCCGCATGCGGCTCTCGGTGCTTGTAAAATAATGAATGGATATTTAAATAAAATGCTTTATATTTTACTGCATTAATTTTACATCTGTATGCCAATTCTAAATGTAAAGATTGTCTGCGTAAACCTGAACAGGTCCAACCCGGTCTGTGAGACCGGGTTGACGCGTCACGCTTGTGCGTAATCATGCGCTTCTGAGCTGCTTTCCGACCTTCCCCACCTACAAAGTTTAATTACAACAATCAAACGTGACAGAGCCTGGATTTGTATTCTGAACAGTCTAAACATGTTCTAAAAAGAAACGTATGACAAAAGTGGCACCTGCTCAGTAAAACCACCAATAGGGTGAATATTGAAGGCAGAGACGGGCTACAGCTTCTGGATCCACTTTATTTAATCGTTTTATTGATTATCTTTTTATGAAAGATAACTTTGACGTACACGAGTGACCAGGCGCGTTGCAAGCTTTTCAAAAGTGTGGGGGATGTTGTCTGTGCCTAAAATAATTTCATGTTATTCATCCTGTTAGTTTAATTTCCATAATAGCGGAGCAGGTACGAATTTTAGACGCGTCACGCACGTCTCCGTTTTAAACATGTTTAAACTGTTCAGAATACAAATCCAGGCTCTGTCTCGTTAGATTGGTGTAACTAAAGTTTGTACTGAATGAAACTTTACATTAAACCATGTTGAAAAGAAAAGGATCCGATTAAATCGTTTCCCCCTCATTTACAGTCACGGACTACAGCGCAGTGCGCGTGGCTCTGGGGTTAATCAAGCTTAATTGTTTCTCATTGCAACAATCTTCACAAGAAGGCAAAACAGTTAAATGACAGGTTACAGATATTTCCATTTGACTGTTTATTTTGACGGATAAACTCAAGGATGTTGGTTGATTTCCTCCCACTGAAGCGGTCTGGAAACTCGGTCTCTCTGAGGGATGTGTCACTTGGAAAAATGTTATTTTTATGAAATTATGAAAGTTTGGCTGAATAGCGCTTGTTCCCGTCTCTAATATGGAGACGCATGACGCATCCAGTCGCCTCTTCAGCTCAGAAAGCACCTGTAGAGACATTTGATCACGCACAAAGTTTATGTGGAGCAGAAGCGGTCGGGCTACGGCAGGTGAAATGTTCCTAGCCTACATGAAGTGAAACTGTTTAATTGTAACATTAATATGTTACTGGACACACTGGTCTGGTTGGTTAGACCAGTGTTGGAAGTGGAAAACACACACACACACACACACCAATTAACATAATGCTGATAGCGTGGACTAGAAGCCAGGTGATGGTTTACGTATTTAGATGATGATCAGGCTGCTGTAAAATGTAATCTCCATCCACATCCAGACACAATTATCCTCTATTCTTTCTCTATTTGCTCTGCTCTTGTCTGGGCTGACAGCTGACGGTGCGCGCAGTGCGCCTAGTGGCTGTGATGCACATTTTACGCATTTGGAGAGGTGGGCTGGATGCTTTTCTTTTACTGGAAGATGGTCCACTTAACGCACGGGTGTAGACTACATATTAATGACAAATGAATGAAAATTAAATTGTGAGTTTTTACTTCATATTTTAGAAATAAAAATGACGGGGGAAAACATTTATGACGTCTTTTTAAACGAAATTTTCTAGCGCGACCTGCCTGCTTCACTTAAGTCACTGCTTATTAAGGTCCGTCCAAAATTACCGTGGCCCACCCAAAAATGAAAACCTGGCGCTGCACCAGTTATAAACCTCTGCAAATTATTGTTCTTCACTTGATCAAACTCAGACTTTGTACAGCTAATGTCAAGATGTAAAATTATGAATTCAGTCGAGCTCTAAGTCCCTCCCTCTCCTGCTCTCCTGGAAACCCGACATCAGCTGTCAGAAGCGGAGGTGAAGAAGGAGATGAGGCAAACAGAGTGAGTGCGACCTAAAGAAACCAGACTGGTGTGGAGGTGAGCAAAACAGAAGGAAAAGTGTGGGTGTTGAATCCCCCACGGGTGCGACGCCCATGCGAGCGACCGGTACCGGCTGCTGTCACCTGGTTGTGAGCAGCTCTCTGCTGTCTTAGGGTAGGCCCCGCCCACAACGCCGCGGCTACTGCGGTGTTTTCTTTACTGTGGGAAACGGGTAATAATGGCTCTTTGATGGGAACAGGTTGCCGACCCCTGGTATAAGATCTGAGCTGGTAAAACAAAAATCCTCATCAGCAGGCTTTTTTGAAAGTGGGGGGGACACAGCTGCCAATCACAAATTTTGCCGGGGACATGTCCCCGGCGTCCCCGGTTAAAATGACGCCTATGGTCGAGAATGAGAAATATAAAATAAATTGCTCCCAGATGGAAGCGTGTCTTAAAGCCGGATTATTCATGCTCGGCTAAACAGAGAGGCAGTATGCTTCTCTTCTCAGGAGTGTTTTGTTTTTTACAAAGCCAAACTCCATTTTGTTATGTTACCAACTAATGTCAGTCCCTCTGGGTAGGATTTTAATCTCCTTAGTTTAGATTCCTAAAAAGTGCTCGCGTGGAAGGTAACTACTACCAGCGTTCTCTGCGGTTTTATGCATCAGGACATGAATAAAATCTTCTGGTTTTTACCAGGTTTTTAAATTATTTTCTTCTTACCTCCTGAGCACAGAAATTACCATCAAACTCTGAGAAAAGCTGAGCCCACCTGATGGTCCAGCTGCTTGTAGAACCTTCTTTAGCAGCAAGAACTTTGAGTTTTCTGACTTTTCCTGTTTTCATATGAACAGTTTCTGCTCAGCTCGGGTTCACGTTTGGGCTCTGACTGAACCACTGCAGAACCTGTGTTTGCATCATGGTTCTGTTAGACTCCAGAATACTTTTGTCTATAGTGGAGTTCATGGTTGACTCGATGACCATAAAGAATACAGACCATCAGGCCTCCACCACCATGTTGTGCTGACGTGCTCTGATTTGGTTTTCTCTAAATATGTCACTGATATGTGCATCTCGGGTAAACATCTCTACTTCTAAAATATACGGTTTCAGAATTCTTATAAATTTATAAACTTCAGAAGAGAAGATGTTGCATCTGTCATAGGGGCTGCATGACTTAATTTTTTTTAAGTCGACAGTTAAGTAATGAAAATCGAGTCGACTTCGACTAGTCGTTGATGACGTCATACAACTGAAGCGGCGGGGGGGGAGGGGTGTCGGTTGGTTCGCTGGAGTTTTTGACAATTAAAATTGCGCCCACATTTTCTAAGTTAAACATATTTCTTTTAACAACGGTAGTTTCTGCTTCAGCCCTCTCCCCCCTCCCCCTGCGCAGCGGCCGCAAACTCACTGATGTGCCTGCAGCCTCTCAGGCCCTGTCCACACGTAGCCGGGG